ATACAAATAAAGATACAAATAACTTTTCAGAGAACTTTCTAAATATTAAACGAGAGATTATAGACGAGAAGAACGTTCTGCATAATCAAAATGATACACAAGAGATAAGAGATAAAATAAATATTCATAATAATTGGAAAACAAATCGAGAGAATATTAATAAAACTAAATACAAAAAGGAAACTGTTAATTCAACTGAAGATAACAAAACGGCAGTGTCAGTTAACTTAGTGACTGAAATTGATATTGATGAAATGAAATATGAAGATGTGATGGAAGCCTCGATAGAACAAACTGATAACACTGAAGAAACGCTCAGTTCGAAATGTCACAAATCCTTTCGGTAATTTGCTTTATAACGCATTAGTTGTAATCATACAAATTTGCTTTACACTTTTACGATTTCAATATATTGTCTATTTTTATCTTTTACTTTAATTTTATCAATCTCTTTTAGGTCCAATCGATCGATATCGCGTCGTATACAACGTGAACATAAAAAGAAGGATTATGTGTGCGATCAGTGCGGAAAATGTTTCAAGTAAAAATGCTTTAGTATAAATTAACAGTAATTTTAACACAATATTGTAATAAAATCGTAATAATATATATATATATTTTTGTAATTTTTATCTTTTTGTTTATTTCTATTGAATCTCTTTTAGTTCTAGCCAATCGAGATGGAGTCATGTACAACGTGAACATAAAAAGAAGTATGTGTGCGATCAGTGCGGAAAATGTTACAGGTAAAATTATTCCTAATAAATGTAATATAAATTAACAGTAACTTTAACACAATATTGTAATAATATCGTAATAATGCAATATATTTTTTAAATTTTTATCATTTCGTTTAATTCTATTTAATCTCCTTTAGTTCGTACAAGTCGAGATGGAGTCATGTACAACGTGAACATAAAAAGAAGAAGTATGTGTGCGATCAGTGCGGAAAATGTTACAGGTAAAATTATTCCTAATAAATATAATATAAATTAACAGTAACTTTAACATAATATCGTAATA